AAAAAAGGGTCGTGTATGGACCGTTTGAGAGTGTGAAGGAAAAGGTGGCAAATGACGAAGTGAGCAAAATTTCCAGATAGATGTTTTGCATTAAGGAAAATATATTTTATTTTGCTCTGTAGTATTCTTCTAAAATATGCTTTATACATCTTGCTAGTATCTACAGTACAGAATTGTGCCTATTTTAAAGGGATTGATAATGCATCAATAATGGCGGAGGACTGCCCCAGAAATCATTGAATAAAATCTTTATTTTTGTTTTCTTTGCACACCAAAAAAAAATAAAAACTATATATAGTAAAACCCTTGCTGTCTGCAGGTTCAGAAAACTCAGATTTCATCAAATATCTTCATTTGTGTTCCAAAGATGAACGAAGGTCTTACGGGTTTCGAACGACATGAGGGCGAGTAATTGACAGAATTTTCATTTCTGGGTGAACTAACCCTTTAAAAAAAAAAAAAAAAAAATTTTTTTTTTTTTTAAAAGCTCAACTTCCAACAAAAAAAAAAAAAAAAAAATATTCAACGCAATAGATTTTTCATGGTCCTAAAAACAGGATTTATTTTCATTGTGCAAAAGTTCCTTTTCTTTTTTGTGCGCGTTTGGAATGAAACAGGAATGTTTTTATGATGCAAAATACAGCAAGGTCATAGCAGTTCATTTCAGTCACAAGCAATGAGACAACCTGATTGGTTTTGCTAAATTAAACTGCATCAACGGGACTTTCAGAGCCTAGTTGTATTTGTCCCTTAAAATTTAATATGCTACATATATCAGGAAAATCATTTGTATACTCAAATCCCCTAGCATGCCAGTATGAGATTCACCAAAAAGGAGATTACACCAATATACCACCGCATGGAGCAAGTGGATTTTTTCCGTAGAGGAGCATCAAATTGAACTGAATTAGTGGTCGACCGATATATCGCCAACAAGGCCGATATTTGCCATTTTTCAAATATCGGCCGATAAGTTTCTGTTTGGCCGATGTGTTCGTGGCGGGACTTTGATTTTGACGGTGCCTGAACACAGTGCTCACATTCTCCCTCTTGTTCGCTGTCGTCGTTATCAGTTCTGTCCACGGACCGAAGTCTGTCTAATAATCAGAACTGTTAAACAAAAGGAATTAAAACGTATACAATAAAAGTATTATAACGATTGCTTATATATTGTTAGTAATAGAAAGGCAAACATTATAATACTTTCTCGCTTGCCGTCAGCAAATACGCATTTATATAATTTAAACAAATCTTTGAATGACTAATGAACATCTAATTTCAAAAGCCTTGCAAACTTAGTCGAATCCAGCTGTGAGATATTATGAAGTGTGCATTTGTATCCTGCACGATCGCGTGTACTCTGCATGATGGTCGGTCTGTGCGAATTGAATGCGGACAGGAGGAGAGTTCAGCTTCATTGAGACGCGCGATGTCAAATTATGCTGCGCTTCATGCTTTTACCCAATGTCATATTCATGTCATTTTCACTGTGTGCTGTATGTAAAAATGTGTTACCTTGGCATTCTTTTTAAAAAAAAAAAAAAAAGGGTGCTTCCCAATGCCCACAAACTTCCCAGAATACAGAGTGCCCTGTTGGTTACAGTGTTTACTTCCTTTTAATTATATTTTTATTAAATGTTTATTTGTGAAAAATACTTTGCCATTTAAAGTAGAAGCATGTTTATTTTACACATTTATTTTTTTAAACCATTTTCAAATTTCTTAAATATTAAATAAAATAAATACAATTATATCAGCTTTATATCGGCCATTGGCCCTGCTTTCCAAGATATCGGCATCGGCTGTCAAAAAACCAATATCGGTCAACCACTAAACTGAATCAAATATTTATAATTCAATGCTCGGACTAGGGCTGTGCAATTAATCGCATGCGATTGTCATGCGCATCTCATCAGTAAAGCCGGTTCCGTAATCAGTAGTAAATCTCCATCACCTGCTTTGAGATCGAGCAGCATTCACTACACGGAGCCGTAGTTCACTGACAATTAGGCAATATTGCGTTCATAAATCGCATTCGATTATGAACGCGATATCACCTAGCTTGTCAGTGAACTACAGCTCTGTGTATTAAATGCCACTCCATCTGAAAGCAGGTGATGGAG